TACGCCGCCCTTGGTCATAGAAATGATGTAATTTGAATATAAATTATTTATAAATACGTATGTCAAGTTATATTTTTATTACGACGTAAAATATATTTAAGAGTTTACGACCACTGTGCCGGGTGAGACGTTGTTGAAACAAAAAAGTTATGCATTCCATAATGTACATAAACATTGTCGTAATTCGCCAAGTGCAAATCAGCAAATTCGTAAAATTTTTGTTTATTTTTAACAATCCGGATAATCGAAAATCCGGATAATGGAGGTCCGGATAATGGAGGTTCTACTGTATATTGTTTTTTTATTAAAGAACACTCAAAATTGTATAAATCATATTTTATACAATTTTGAGTTTTCTTTATAGCAGGTGAATAGTATAATCACATTTTGTTTATAGTTAAAACAAATGTGTGTATAATACTGTATATAAAATAATGGTTCTATAACTAAAAATTTTAACAATGACTCTTAATTATTTTTTTAAAGGTACTTTTAAATTGAAGAAAAACAAATTGAGAGAAGAAGAATTTGACATATCTAAGGTGAAAGATCCTTTATATTATTTAGATATTCCAAAACAGTGTTATGTACAACTAAATGAAAGTTCTTATAAAGATATCTGCGAAGGTAAAATACGTTTATAACTTATTAATTCCAATTTGAAAAATTATGGTTTTACAAAGCATATAAGTATTATGGTATTATTGTTGGGACCATGTCAGAATGTACTTAGAGAAGATATAAATGTCATTGATATTGTTATCCATTAGAGCTATTTTCAAATTGAATGTTGTTATATTGGCTACTATTTTATACAATTAATTTCATTTAATTTGATGATTGTAATGTTTTGTGTACTTAGCTAAATTTCTAATATATTTTAATAGAAATGCATTTTGTTTTGTATATATTAAAGTACTTTACATGATTTTAAATATTTAGTTGTTCATTGTCAAGTATATTTTATGTTATGCTAATTATTTGTACAAATCTCTTATTAAAAATATCATTCCAGTTGTAGTCAATTTTCTATCATCTCTTTTTATTATTATACAAAGCCTGTTTCTTATGCACATAATTTAAAAAGAAATGTATAAGGGTTTACATATTTTTATTGTAAGTTATTTTAGAAATTATGTGCTACTTTATATATGTACTGATATAAGTACAATTGTACATTCTGAAATCATATTTTTATGTTAAATCATTTTGTGAGTTGTTTACACAATATTTTTAAGTGAGCATCTGATAAATTTTTGAGTTTATAATCATAATATATATTTGTCTTCTAAATGACATTGTAATGATTAAGTATAATTTGTATACATTGGTGAGATTGAATTTTGTTACTTATGTCTTAGTCCATCCAACAGTTATTGAAACTGGTGTACAAGTGTTTGTTAAAGATAAATATAAAATATAAAACTTACAAATTTCCTATAGGAATAAATCGATAAACTTGAAAACAATATTGCTGCAAAACTTTTCACAGTTAACAGTATTGTTGATACTTTTAATTTTTTCCTTTATGGGAACAATTTTTAAAATTATCTTTTAATTTTTAGTTCTGATTGAGATGTTTAATTTAAAGGAGAATATATTTACATATGTCAAGTAAGTTTGTTAAATATGAAAGAAAAAGAACTAAAAGTTTAATATTCTTACCATGTTGGGATTCTTCAATAAGTTTAAGAAATTCTATATAACAATGAATATCTTCTAAATTTGATTCTATATCCTTTTACTTTCATTGCTAATATTTAAAAATTCAAACAATTTTAAAATTATTTTACTTTGACAGTAATGCACAATAATAATAGTAAACTTTTCATAGATTATTATAATTATTTAGCATCATAACTTGCCGATCTCAAACACACAGCCTTCTTATCTCTATTTACAGTTTGCCATGACATCAATTTTGTAAAAAGATTAAAAAAAACTTATCTACACTATTTTTCTGCAATATAATTTGCTATATAATTCCACATCAGATTATTTTGTACACATTTTACAAATAACCAATGTATTGAAATTTAATAATAAGTATCAACAGATATACACATCTTAATCTTTTTAAGTATTCAGTTGATTAAACTACAAACTGACAATAGCTTCTGAAAGCAAATTAGAAAGTTTTATATGTATCATTAAAAGTAAAGGGCATAGACTTACAAAACTTTTATGAAGACGAATTGCAATACATCCCTTAGTGTTCAAGAATATCAATTTATGGTCCATAGCATGGTTGGGTTAAAGATGTCATTCCCTCTGTTTTGACATCTTTAACCCGACAATTTTAACTTCTCAAATAGAATAAATAATAATGTCAATTGATTAGAATATAATAATTTTTAGTATTTAATGCAGCCTTTTTTTTTAAATTACTATATAAAGATTTGATTTATATTAAGTTAAAAATGCAACTATGTTTAGTTAGAAATAGACTTACTACAATGTATTGAAAATGACATGGACACAGCAGCTAGTAAATAATGATTGCACTATAATTTTTTTTATATACTTCATTAATTACACAATTTTAATTTTTATAATGAGCAAGATGAATAATGAAATATAATAAGAGTTTCACAAGTTTTTAACAATATGAAATTAATTTGTTTAATGGAAGAACAATAATAGTCTTAATTACTTTAGTATTTTGATAGAAAATAAATTATGTCATCATCTTAGTAACTGAATTTGATTGACCCTCAATTAACTAGATTTGAATGTTGAAAAAAATAAAATTGAATAGATAAAGAAAATCTCTAAAGTATATTGCAATAGCAAACAGATGTTTACAGAGAAAAAGTCACTGCTATATACTACTATGTGACTTTGCACATCACAAATGCTGAATATAGTACATTAATGTTTGTCTGTTGAAGCACTACCATAGTAGTAAATCTTTTCTGATGGTAGAAAGATTCACCTTGAAAGTAGGCACTATTTGATTCTTGAATACCTACTTCAAACTGAAGCTTAGGCCTTGAAAATGCTTTTTTAGTTTGGGGATCAGATAGAAGTCCAATGTTGATAAATCAGAATTTTAGGTAAGACCAGGAAGACTTTTCCAATGCCAAGTGTCCCAATAGATTGTGATGAGAAATACAGTAAAACTTCTCTAATTCAAATATCTGTAATATGCTTCATTTTCTTTGAGTTAAAGAAATATTAACTTGATGGGTCTGAATGGAATAGTGCAGAGATTTAACATCTCCAATTCGAATTTTCTCCATGTCGAAGGTTTTCACAGTCCCCAACACCAATTTATGTTACTTTCAACTTCCCCAATTCAAATTTCAATATTTATTCTATCCAAAGTGATCCTAATTATTGATTTTCATGAAATTTTCAGTTAGTTGTATCTGCTGTCCAACACCCATTTTCAATGTTTCAGTCCAAAGTGGAACCAAAGTGGTCCAAAGGACCTCTCACTTTATCTCAACATGTCCCTGCAAAACTATTCAATTCCATTACCTACATTGAACATTTTGCTTAAGGGTGTTCCACTGACTGTTTAAAACAAAAAACTATCAATTTATCTTTTAGATTATATAATACAAGAGAAGTAAAAATACATTTGGAATTGCCATTTTTCACTCTATTGTTCTTTAACTTGAATTGTCTGTAACTCTAATTTTTTTCCTGCCCCTTGAAGTTCTGAGTTAGAGAAGTTTTACTGTACTAGGCTGGGTATCATTCCTTTTGATAACAAGTAGATCTACTTTTCGTCAAAGCCAGCCTGATGACGACGTCCAAGAAGAAATTAAACATTGACTATATCTCAGGATGATCTTTCTACCACCAAGATGTTGCTATATGTTATAAAACAGACTGAACATGTGTTCAATGTTTGCATTACATTAGTTTAAAAGAAATATCAGAAAATATTATTGGTTGTATTTGCCTGTATAAATAAAATGAGATTAGATTGTTGTTTTTATGAAAAAATAACTTATTGAAGAAACTCGTGGCATAATATTAACATATCTATAAACAATATTAGTTTTGAAGTTTATTGAATATGTTTTATTCAGAATAAAGTATTTAAAATATTATTTTAAGCAACAAAAATGATTTGTGATTTCTGGAACTGTGTCATCGTCTTTTTTCTGTTTTTATCGTCACGACTAGGTGCATAGAAATCCCGGAAGTCATGCCGACAGATGAGGGGCTTATGCCCAAAACGCATATTGGCCTATAGCAGGTGTGGCCAAACTTTTATCCCTTAGGGGCTACTTTTTTGGTAAAATGTAGTCTGCAGGCGACTATGAATATGGGCAAACAATTTTAGGATTTTTATATGTGCATGCATTAACATTCATTTGCATTGTTCATTGGGATAAATACAAACAGTATGGGTAGTCTATTATTGTAAGAATAAATTATCGAATTAAGATTTTTAAACATTAATTTAAGTGAAAGCAAATTGTTCAACTTTAGCTTCGTGGGCTACTTTCAAAACCTTTGTGGTCGACCGGTCAACTGCGGTCTACGTGTTGGCCATCCCTGGTCTATAGGATAGTCCAAATAAAGATGATGTAGAAACGCCCAGTATCTATGTATGCACCTAGTCATGACAATAAAAACACAACAAAAATTGTGTTTAAATAATCTTTCTTGGAACACTTGTCATCATTTACTTCATAATTGTGGTGTATTAAGAAAAATGCAATGTGCAAAAATGAAATTTGGCTTCAAACGAGAGATTTGGACAATTATTGGTGGTTTTTCCATCTATATTAACATTTATCTAACAAGAAATGAATTGTTTTACTGCTCGGAGAGGAAAGAAATGTTGTTATATTTGTGATTTGTTTCGGAATTATATATAAAGTTAGAATTTGTAAAAAAATAATTTGCAAATATTTGTACTTATAATAATATTTAGAAATGTTGTAGCAGAAATGAATTATATTCTTTGCTTTTGAAGTGCTCTTCCCAATTGTTTATACAGTGGCATTTTTGTCAATATAAATATATCAAATTATGTATAAAAATGCTTACGAAGTACATTAAATGTAATGTATAAATTATACAATAGTTACTATGATAATCTATGTATAAAAGCTTTTGTAAATAGACAAAAATATTTTCTGTTGTGAAATGGTTAAAGATATAAACTGCTATCAACTTAATTTCCGTTGTTATAGATTTTAAAATATTTTATAGAAAGATTATATCATTATGCGTAGCTTTTATATATAAAATTCAACAGCAGCTGCAAAATTGAACTGTATCTATAATAATTATTTTCAGAAAAGTAAATCTATTATTTTACGTATGTTTTCTATTATTACTACATTCTATGTTTAAAAATAAATTTTCATTCTATATTTTTATATTAAACAATAATATGGAAAAAAAAGATTACGCACCTGGACATATTCGAAATAGCCCTCAGTGGGAAAATATTTTAATACGCCAACACTATTTTTGTCGAGAAAATATTTATTAAAGTGTTAGAGTATTAAACACACAGACATAAATGTCCAATTACTTCCAAAATCTATTTGCAGGTATGTAAATGCTTACAGTTGTGGTCTGATTGCATGTAAGAAATGCCACCAGAGTGCCTTAAAATTGCTACTCCAATATTCTATAATAATAATGTTTCCAGAGGCTCACCTTGTGTACCCATTGTTTGGAAGTCTTCCAATACCAGTCAAAGACATACACACCTGATGAAGTTTGAGAACAACTGCATTGTTGGGCCAAAGAAAGCTGGGTGGCTGTTTTGCTGGCTTGCCTGTCGTCTGGTTTCTTCTGATCTGACCAAGGAAGTGTTGGGGCAGTGGATATGTGAGGACACATGGGCACACGTGGTGGACAGGTTCTGAACACCTCTGACAAACAATCAGGTGAGACTATTCTCTCATTGTGAGAAAAGAACAAACAGCTGCAATGGCATCTTTATCCACCACCAGAGACAGACAGAAGCTTTTCTAAAGAATCCTGCTTTTGTACCATTGGCAGCAGTGATGTAGCTACATATTCAGTGCCCTAGAGCAAGTCGAATTGGTGCACCCCTTGTTCCTCAGAAGAGGTCTCACAAAATTTATTTTGAACACTTAATTTAAAAAGATATCTAATTATTTCAATTTAAAACCTTACTTAATAACAATTTATTTGAGATTCAAGGCATTTCAACAATAAGATATTCAATTTAATAAATCTTAGGGTTATGGTATGCCATGCCAATGCACACTAAGAAGGGATTTTTTGAAATTCCTCCTGCAGGTGGAGAGGAAAACGGTTAAGGATTACCCTGAAGAACTTAGCTTCTACTGTACTATTTTAGATGTGGTATTTTGCATTTTTGCAAGAAATTGAGCATATTTTTAGACCCATCTAAAACTTCTCTAATTAATCTCAGAAGAGGGGAACCTAATTCTTGCACCCAGTGAAAACGAGTATAATCTATAAACTTAATCTTTGCTATCGTTACTTTTTGTCTGAGCAACGCCAGGCTCATCTGCTAGTATAAATATAATAAAAAAACAAAATATAATTCTTTAAGTACAGAGTACCTAATAATATTTACTACATATTATATAAACTGTATTGACAAAATGTATGCAAGTTTAGTTTTATAAGAAATACATAATACATTAAAAAACTTAAAAATTGTTTTCTCGCTTTTTCGTTTGCAAATTGATCAATCACTTTGTTCAGATCAAGTTGACAAGCTATTGTTTTTTTCAATTAATATAGTCAGGGACAAATCTAGGTTTTTTGGCACCTAGGGCTTATTGAAGTCCAACAGGGGCCCATTTTTTGTTAATACAAATAATACTATAAAATTATCATTATTATATTATTAATAATATTAACTATTTTTTACTATAAGAAAAATGCTCATTGTTAATGAAAAAGTTTTAAAAATTTATGATGATGATAATTCAATTTTTGGGGGCCCAGGGCTTAAGCCCTATTAGTTTCTATGCAGATCTGCCCCTGGATATAGTTATAGGCTAGATATAGGCTTAAGACGGTGTTGTGACATGCTGCTTCTTAAAAAGCTTTGATTAATTTTAGTTTTGAAAAACTTCTTTGTTGTCACCCGTAAAGTTAAAAGAAATGCTACAATAATGTCAGAGAACCTATTTGAGGCTCCGGTGTGAAATAAAAGTAGTTCAGCAACTTCGATTATAGAAGTAATTTCTTTTACCTGACTATAAAAACACATTTTAAATTGAAGCAGTTGAGGTCCAAAACTAGGCAAATTGCCAATTGTAACAATTCTGATTGTTCCAGAATATTTTTATCAGTTGACATGACAAGATATGCAGGCTAAAACCACTTGAAAATAGTTTGGTAAAATACAGATAACAAATACAATCATTTTTACCAATATCATGTATAGCACAACAGTGAAGGTTGCAAGATTTCACTCAATAATCTAAAAATACGCAGGATAGAAAAAAATATTATAAAAAGGAAATTATTTGAACATTTGGAAATTACTAAAATAAAATGAACTTAAATGATGGTCTAATTATTAGCAACATTTGGAAGCCATTCCTTAACAGGTGGTATCCACAAATGATTCCATCCTGCCACACTTCCCAGATATAATGATGTTACACATCTGTACAAAATGGCTTTATATCATTTGCCATACTCATCTAATTTGATATTCTGAAACTTACACAGTATAATTATTTAAAAAATTTTTTAATAATAGAACTGATGATAAACAAGGAGTCGTGTATTCTCAGATAGACTTCTAACCATTACAGTTATATTAGTCGGAAGGCATTTATCTTCCTGTAATTTATTAAATTGTATTTGGATAACAGTTTAACTTGAGTTTTATAACACTGGAAACATTCTGGAAATCTTTCAGAATTGGAAAAACATTATTTGAATTATTGGGAATTACTCAAGAAGAGAATAGAACTGCAGTTTTTCTGTTACAAACTAACTTGTCAAACGAATATTGTGAGCAGTGCGTCAACAAAACAGACTGGGATAAAATTAAATTTTGGTTGGATTTCCTTCCCAAATTGATGAGACTTTTGATTGTGGAAGCTGCATGGCATTTAAATTATATGCTACCGATAAGTTGTCCAGTAGCAATAATAACAGATTTAAGCAAAAATAAGGATTTAAATCTGGTCCAGTTTTCAGATAATGAGTGGTTGATGAATTATTTAAACCAACATGACAATTTTATGACAATTTTAACTCTATCAAAATTGGTTGACTCTAAGACAGTATTTTTTCTATACCATTTGTGGATGTGGCAGGACCACGACGACAACAACTGGATGATGAGGGTCCCAGTATGTTTGAGTCGACTCATACTTAAACTCTTGGTGGTAGGAACCTTTACTATCTCAGTTATCGGACCATTCTCTAAAGTGTATTGGAATGTTTTACTTCACAATTTTAAATGTGAATATCACCTTATGTAAGTATTCTAAATCTATGGAAAGAATCAAAAATATGCTGCATGTGCACATTAATTTTTATGACTGCAAAATCACAAGCATTAAATTATGGAAGTTTTATTTTTGCACTTACTACACAAAAAGTAAAAATTTATTTACATGTCAAAATGAACACAATGAAGTTTGTTAAATGGCACATAAGTCAAAGATTCCATTCACGACACTCATTGTTGGCAATGCTTTAATTTAAATAATTTAAAACTTGTATACTTAATTTAGTCAAGATGCCGGCATGTAGTTGGGATCCAGATAATTATAATCGCCGCCTCCAAGGAAATGCATGTAGTCTCGATCCAGACATCTGTTTTGACTCTGTGCCTGGGTTATCGGCTCCAATTTGTGATCTGACGTGTGGAAATTGCATTCGTGCATACTGAAAATACAACAAAGTGACAAAAGTGTACGTTTTTTTGACAGATTACATGACAAACCATCTTACTCACCAGTCTACGCAGTCACTGCAAAAGTCTACAGACTCCTTTGCGGGACATTCTACACAGTGCCATCTGGTTCCGATAATTGGGGCCACATTACATCGATTACACTGAAAAAATAAAAATTAATTTTTGTGCATGTAATCATTCCCATAAAAAGATTTGACTCCTAGACTCTGATTCCCCATCCCTCGCATCAAGTTTTTAGTTTAAATCACCATATTAGGCCAAATAGTTACTTTTCATTATAAGCTCCACATCTTGTAGCATCCTCTTCTTAGAGGATTGAAGCCGATAAAGCTTCTCTCTCTCTTTCCTTGTCATGACATTCCTCAGATTGATTCCCATCCATCCAGTTATCCCTCCCTCTCTTCCTTGGTCTTCCTCTTGGCCCATTACCTATATTATTATATTTGTTAATATGCCTGAAGATCCCTGGCCAAATGTCCAGCAAATGCAGAGTTTTGCTTAAAACCAGTGTTAATTGTTTTCCTGCATTAAATCTTTTAAGTACTACTTTGTTTGTGATCCACTCTCCAGCTATCCTGCCCACCTTTCTACCAAGTTTATTTTGTTTTCCATTTCCTTGGTGATGGACCAAGACTTGCATCCATAGGTCATTGTGTTTCATACAGAAGTCTCAAATTAAAAATTCTTAAGGCAATAGTTTATTAATATGTGAGAAATCCAGAAAAAAAGCTGATTTTGCTTTGCATATTCAACTTTTAATTTCAAGATTGCACCTATTAGCTTCTGAAATCCAGCTTCTGAGATATTTGAAATTCTTTCCAACTTTGTGGACCTGAAAGCGATTTGTAAATCAACTTCTGCATTTGTCTTCCTTGAAATCCTCATCACTTTTGTTTTCTTACTATTTATTTTAATGTAGTATTTTTCTAGTCTAATATAAAAATTCCATATTAAAGCGAAATGATTGCTGAATTATATAGGGCTTTATTACTACTACTATTATTAATTAAATGCTAAGTAATTTGACATTAGAGGCAGGTCTTTTTATTCCTTCTGTTGAGTATATTCTGCAGACCTTCTTTGGTATCACTCAATAAAACTACATCATTGGCACATCTTATATTATTAATTAGACATCCATTAATTTTCACTCTTATCTCTCATCATCCATTCACTGCATAGGTTAAATAATGACTGTGATAAACCACATCCTCGTCTTACTCCTTTCGTCATCAGAGTCCAATTAGATTCCTCTCCCTCAATCGTGACTATTGCTCTTTGAACTTTATATTTGGTCAATAATATTTATTAACTCTCTATTAGGCAAAATAGGAATAGATATTTAAAATAACACTTTGTGGTTGACATTATCAAATGCCTTTTTGTAGTCGACAAAGCATAGATATGGGAAATCCCTGTTAATTTGAACTCGGATAGTTTGAAACTGCACTTTTGTTCCGCTTAAGGAGATTTACACACGTTAAGGAATTAGGTTAGTTCAAAATACAGCTACTTCGAAATTTGAAATGAAAATTCTGTCTGAACTGTGATATGCATATATTAGCTCGTTTGTTTAGATCAAAGTGCCTCCATGCTATAAGAGAACAATAGACCAAGAACAACTCTAATCTGTTCAATATGGCTTTGCTTTTACAGTAACATATTTTTGGGTGTCACCTTACCCGTCATTACCTTTTTATGCTCTTAATTCATAAAATGTGGCTGGTTTTGGGGATTGCAAGATTGGGCTACAAGTAGCAGATTGAAATATTTGCAGTGCTCTAGGCTATCACATTTGGGCAACTTCCTACTTTTTGGGCCACTTTAAAAATAATTTGGGCTATATTTTGAGGAATTCTGCTTTACTTTTTATTATTATTTTATACAAAAATAGCATTCTATATACATAGCCGTATTCTGTTTCCTTAATAAATTATATCAGTTACATGGAATTTGGCATATTGTACAGAAATATGTAAATCTCTGATAATTCGAAATCATGATTATTTTGTCCGTTGAATTTTGAACTAACAAGGATTTCCTCTATAAGTTTTTATTTTTTACAATAGTTTTTTTCAACTGTTAGTCTTAGTAGTGTTATTGCTTCTCTAGTTCTGCTATTCCTTATAAATCCAAATTGTATGTCACATATCTCCATGTTTATATTTTATTCTATTCTTTTATGTATGATGTTATAAGCACAACTCCACACCTTCCATATTCTTTCCAGCAAAAATTTTTGCCGGAAAGAGTACAGAAGCTGTGGACTGGCTTGTTCCAACTCCTTAAGAATTTATCCATGTATATTTATCACAGCTTAGGATTAACGAAGTTTAGGTTATCGTTAAGTATATAGTGAAATGTAGAATTTGTAATAATTTTCTTGATCACAGCTCCTAATGTAAATAGTATAACACTGCCAATTAAAAAGTTGTAGTCCATGAAAAATATGCACTGTAGTATTATCCTTTAGGCATTCTGAAATATCAAGTGAGGTCCTCTAACAGGTTGTCATATATGGTAGGGTAAAGGCTTCACTGCATAACACCTTTTTGACATATTTGACAACCTTAAACTATTTATGCTATGTTCAGCCTGTGCAAAACCATGTACATTATGTCTTATGGGTATTCACATTTCAAACAATGTATGCATTTTTTTTGGGTGAAGGCTACTGATATATCTTAATTCAATTGAATATAATGAATTAAATTACTTACGCTGTATCCAACGTGCTGAGCGAGCCCATGATCATGAAGCTTCTTTTCCCTTAATTTCTTTAAATAAAGAAGTTCCTGATATTCTGGTGTGTCTTTCATTTCTTGAGAGATTCCATCATCATCCTAAATTAAGAATAAATCTAGTTTAAGTTTATTCTGATGATAACTAGAACATTGCATGACTCTGTCATATTGTGATAGAATTGAAGCAGAGCCAGAAGGAAAGAAGCAATTTCTGCATATGTTCTTATGTTTTGTTTGCTTTATGTGCCTATTTTCCATTATGCACATGTAATACTGTTTTTATTTTTGACTCCTAGGCCTAAATTTTGTTAGGTACACTCATTGCATCAGAGAGCATGGACATTTTCACTGTAATACCTTTGTATATCGAAAATGAAGTCATGGACTCCTATTTTTATTTTCCTGGCTCTGTTATTTGAAGCTTAATAACTCCTGTGATTTCAAAAATTTCTGAAATTTTGCAGGAAGGTTTGTATATCAGAAAGATTCATTCTATTATATTTTGGTGGTTGAAGGTCAATGGGGTGGGGGAGATAAAGGGTGGTCATGTGTCATATCTTGAGTAGAGTCAGACTTAATGACAATTTTACTTGTTGTTAGCATTTACAATTTTTTTATGAAACCCATCCCTACATTCAAAATTAAGCTTTTTGCCATTTTATAATAATTAAAAATGTAAACAGTTTTTTAAATGAAATATTGTAACAGATAATGCCACCAGAATTTTAAATGTTACAGGGAAAGTTAAACAATTCATTGCTGGATTTTTTATATTTAAATGGACCCACATTACATTTTAGGATTCCTCGTCTCAATTAATATAAAATGGCAAAGTTTTATCAAAATCAATCCATTAAATTTTGAGAACAAACTCGATTCTGTAAGCCCATACAAGATGTGCTAGCAACTGTGAATCATTGCACAACAAAGTCATGTGATTTGTGTGATATCGCTTTGTCATGCGTGCTTGTGAAATGACTTCATTTTCGAGATATAAGATCATGAACCCCATTTTTATTGCATTTTTGGATTCCGTATTGAAATTAATGGTTTAATCAAAATATATTGGACAGATTTTGAGAATGAACGCAATTCTGTAAGCCTCGTAGAAGCAGCTTTCCTAATGCTCCGCTTCAAATATAATTCCTCAAGTGCCACACTTACAGAAGCAAAATCAAATTTATCGTTAGACATGTCTCCGTCCACACTACTAGAGAGAGAGTGAGTGTTGTTACTGTATTCGTCATCGGCTTCATTCATATACACAGGAGGTATGTGAGAAGCGAAAAATGTAGAAGGTTGCTGCAAATAGTAGCGACTTAAAACATTTCTCCGCGAAGAAACCTACAAAATAAAATATAAAAATTTTATATTATAATGTTTAAATTTCATCTTGCAAAAGACATTAACTGTATACATTACCTTACGATTAACATTGTGTCTACTTGGCATTCTGCCCGGGATGGGCAGTCCCGCTTTTGCTAATTTTATAAAATATTTTTGCACTCGACTGGCAACCTAAAATTTAAAGAAAGAAACAAGTAATTGACAAACATTTGTTTTTTGAATAAATAATAATCATGCCAAACTATTAATTTAAATTAAAACCAAATTCAAAATGCACTAAAAATTATCTTCAAGCTGATGTGTACACTTTGAAATATTCAAAACAAACAATGAAAAAATCCAAACAAGAGAAGCTGTTTGTGTCTAGTGACATTTCATTGAGAAAGAAAAAGAAAATAAAATTAAGAATTAAAGTTTATGACTGAAAATAGACCATTATATTCAAAGAATTCATTATTATATGAAAAAGATGGAAATAAAAACATCTTAAAGTAGTAATACAAATATATGCGTCTGTCACTACTCAAATAACCCGAAACTAAGCATCTCGAAGCAAATGATACATTCAGTTCATATACTAATATGTTCCATCAGCCACAAATTAATGTTATCAGATCTAAACAATTATTTAATACTGTTAAAGAGAAATCAACTCTCACTTGAAAATTTTTCTATTATTTCTAGAAAATATGAAAAGGAAATATAGTAGTGTGACAAGTTATGTGCACAGCCATTCCCTCAGCTAATAGTCAGAATCAAATGTGAGAGAGTAATGCAGTGATCATGGATTTGTCTCTCATACATATCATACTGAATACAGAAGAAACTACAATAAGGATAATAGCATTATGCTCGTAATGATCTATTATATGAGGTCATCTAGGTAGACTTTTTGTGCACTACTTTATTTTTCTACATTGTTTTCGTGTTTATAAACATGTTGTTCAGCCAACTATATCCCATCTCTATTTAGACAGCAATTATAACCAAGGCCAATGATATTTACTAAAATATATAAAATTAAATTATTTTTAACATTGTGAGTAATATATAACTTATAATTTCTTTTTGTTCATTATGTAACAATAAATGTTCATTAGTAAATTAGAGGAAAACCATTATGGATTCAGATGGATGGAGTTGTAGAAAGAATTTAATTCATTTGAATTTTTACAATAAACTAGAAGATATATTCAGCTAAAATATTCATGTTTTGAATATGGTTTTTATTTTATTGTTTATCTTTATTACTTTTTTCCCAGGCAGTGCGAGATAGCTTTGATAGTAATTTCATAAAACTGGACCAGTAAATTCCAAGAGCTGACACTTACACCAGTTGTTTTTCCAAGAGGAATATCTTAAGAGAAATAAGAATTAGTGAATCCACCAATAGAAAAACAGGTTAGAAAACTACATATGATTTTGTTAGTTGGTGGCTATACACATTAAATAACTATTTCTGTCACAGTGTCAACTAATTTCATCATTGGTTTTCTTTTGACCCTCTCTTAATGAAGCTGTGGTGTTTTCGGTGGTGTACTGGTCTGTATGCAGTGACATCACAGATTTTATAATCATTTGAAAGATATTTATGAACTTTCACAAGTTCTATAAAATATAACAGATCACATTTGTAGCAAAGTATATAAATAAAAAGAAAGATAAATTTCTTGAAGTAAAATGGAAAGAATTGTAAACAAAATTCAACAACAATGCAAATCCAAACACAAACGTGTCTACACAAATACCATAGTACAACAGCATTGTGAGCAAACAAACTTCTCCTTTATTTATAAAACAAATGATACCAATAAATTTTAATCAAGCTATTATGTAGCTGATTAATTATAAAGAAATTAAGCCAACATCTTGTGTTAAGTTTAATAATTAGAAATAAATAGATAAATTTTGAATGTTCTGGAAGAAAAGATTGAGCCAGAGTGGAATTTAAATCCACAACTACTGCTTACCATGTAAATGTATTCCCAATTATGCTACCCAAACCTCCACCTGAGATTCACTTCCAGACCAATTAATTAATTTAGAAGATATAAGTACATGGGTCACTTGATATACCAACTGGTGACAATTATACATTAATGGTCTGCCATGGCACTCGGCCGACTTAAGCTTTTACCCTTGCAGGGTGGATACATATAAAATCTAGCAGTATCACTTGTTTTATTATTATATTCCCAGCTTGATTTTATTCATAATGATTTTTATATCTATACTATATGATATAAAAAAATAATCAAGCACCTGAGTCGGAGTTCTGTTTCCAAGAGCGGCAGCTATTTTCATCCATCTTCTAGACTCTACTTCCTCGGGAGGATACTGTATCAGGAGCTCCTCTAAACGTTTCTGTTCTTCAGCCGTCCACAGTTGATTGAAACTACTTGGTTTGGATTTATCAAACGGTCTTCCACGTACCAAGACTTCAGAATTTTCACCAAAACCTGCCTTTGTATCTTCATCTAAAATTTAAATTATTATTGTAATTTTGTTGAGATAAAAATATTAATTACTGAAAATATTTCTTTCTTTCTTTCCTTTAACAATAAAGACTCTAATAAAAATTTTTATACCGTGATTAAATAATTAAAATTGTAAATTAAACACATTTAAAATCTTAAAAGCTGAATTTTTCTATTTATTAAAATATTTAAAACCATGAACAAAAATTTAATTTGAAAACATCATTTAAAACTGACTGTTGGTTATTAATTATCATTAAAATGTATATTAATTATTTGGAAGTTTAACAGCAAATGAAATAATACATATACAACAGTAGAGCCTGTAACATTCCATGCTAACTTTACATAATAAATTCTCAAATTTTCTATGAACTTTTACTAAAAGATGGCCAGATTAGATAACAAAGCCATCAGCCTGCCATTCTTGGGACCTGGGTTCACATCCGGTTGTGGAATCTCAGGTCTTGGACACATTAAGTCTCAATGCAGGCTTAGCTGAACCCATGCTTCAAAATTCAGCATAGAAATTTTTTAAACATTTTTGGCTTCCTTAAACATACATTCAGGCTACATTTCCATAGAATAATTGGTAGACATATAAACTTTTAGTTTGTTTCATGAGTCAAACACATTTCCTTGCTGTATTTTAAGTGATTGGAGCCTATATTATCTACTGTATCTATCATTTAAATTAAAATTTAACATTTACATTAACAATCAAAATCTTAAAAAGATAAGAGGACTGCAAATGTTGAATTTGAATCACTGACTTTTAGCTAATTATCCCAATTCTGAACAACTAAGCCATGTGTATATTATGCAAACAAAATTCTGGAAAAAACATTGATCAAAAACACAATTCAAATCCACAATTCCTGCATACTATACAAATATGTTACTAATTATGCTTTGTGGACACTCATTCACTTTTACTTCACTGAATAAATCTAATTCATTGATTTAAACTTTGGTTATATTGTACAAAATCAAATGATACTTCTGACAGATAACAAACATATTAAATTAATGAAATTGGAAAGTTCATTGGAACAATTCCAGAAGGGTTGTAAGGCTGTTTTCAAGAACAAAACTATTCAAATTGTTCTGTACATAAATATAAGTTTGCACTGCAAAACTTAATTCAAAAGTCATTTGTTAATCAGTAGACCTTGTTCACCAGAAGTTTAAGTAACCCCTGTTCTGAATCTTTCTTATTCTTTGTACAACACAAACTGAACCCCTCATTCTTTGTACGAGGGGTTCCTCAGTTTGTGTCAGTAATCAAATTTGTGCCACTAAGTTCTAGGACAGTGATACTTACTACTCTAAACATTTTCAAAAGTATAATTTTGAAAATGATTCAACTTTGAAAGATTCGCAGAACTGAAAAAAATTAGTTAACTGCATACAGGAAATTCTTGTTAATTTAAACTCCGATAGTTTGAAATCCTATTAGTTTGTACTATTTGTCCTGGCCAGGGATATAGACATTTACATGTTAGGGAATTTGGTTAGTTTGAAATATGACTACTTCAAAATTTGAAATGAAAATTCTGTCTGAACTGTGATATGCATATGTTAACTCGTTTGTTTAGATCAAAGTGCCTCCATGCTATAAGAGAACAATACACCAAGAACAATTCTAATCTGGTCAATATGGCTTTGCTTTTACAGTAACGTATTTTTGGGTGTCACCTTACCCATGGACTACCCTTTTTTCTCTTATCTCTAAATTATGTATGGGTTTTAGGATTGCAAGATTGGGCTACAAGTAGTAGATTGAGATATTTGTAGGGCTGTAGGCTACTAGATTTGAACAACTTACTACTTTTTGAGTCACTTTAATTTGGGCTACATTTGGAGGAATTCTGCCTTACTTTTTATAAAACCTATCTGGCTATCTGTGAGGTTTTCACTAGACACATGCTGTTTACCTGCAGTATTTATTTTATTATTATTATGTTGGGTTTACTCAGTTCACACCGGTGGCTCTGTACTATGCCGGACCAGAGTCAAGGCATAGCAACCAAGAACAAAAATTAAATAAGTGTGTGTCAGTGTCTGTATTCAGAAATTTTCTAACAATATGGGATGTATTCAATATAGTGGCCTTCTGTAGTGTGATGTATGTATTTCTATTCAATTCTAATGTTACCAGGCTTTTGTGTAGTGTGTGTGGTATCACACCTGTACAGGAGAGAACAACAGGTACAATAAGCACTTTTCCATCCTCCACAGATGCCTTATTTCCTGGGTGAGTTCTGGGTACTTGCTAATTTTTTCAGTGAATGTGTTTTGTATATTGTGAGTATTTAGAATGGCTATGTCTATAATGTATGTGATTTTATTGTGCTTGTCAATGAGTGTGATGTCTGGTCTGTTGTGGTAAATTGTTTTATCTGTGATTATGGCTCTGTCGTAGTACATTTTGTGCGTGTTGTTTTCCAATACTGTCTGTGGAATATACTTGTAGTATGGTTCGTGGATGTCTACCAATTTGTGTTTCTTTGCAAGCTCTTGGTGTATTATATTTGCTACTTGATTGTGTCTATGTAAGTAATCTGTCTGTGCCAAGAGCTTGCAACCAGAAGTGATGTGTTGTATAGTTTCTGGCATGATGTGACATTTTCTGCATGTGTCATTTGTGAGTGTTGTATCTTTGAGTATGTGTTTTCTGTAGTTTTTAGTATTTATGACCTGATTCTGTATGACAATCATGAATCCTTCTGTCTCCCCAAAGAGGCATCCCCAATCTAACCAGCCGTTTGATGCAGTTTTGTCAACAAAATCCATGGCAGGTCATAAGGATGCCTGCCATGGAGTGCCTTATGAGCCCACAATTGCTTAATCTTTCTGTGGTGGATTTAGGGTGATGTTGTTTATGCTAAGTAAGTATTGTTCTTGTTTTCCTTTGGAGCTGCTCAAGATCTGTGTGAGTCCAATGTATAACTCCAAAAGAGTATGTGAATACTGGGACGACATATGTGTTTATTGCTTTAACTGTGTGTTTTGCATTTAACTGTGTTCTAAGGATAGCATTTAACCTACTTTGGTATTCTTTAATTAATTTTTGTTTTATTTGTGTATGTTCTGTTAGTTTGGTCTGTTGGAATCCTAAATACTTGTAGAACTCATCCTCTTCCATGGATTCAATAACGTCCCCATTTCCAAGTGCAAAATCTTCTTTCTTCAGGACTCCTTTTTCTATATGAAGTGTTTTGCATTTGTCTAGGCCAAACTCCATTTGTATGTCTTTAGTGTATGAATGTGTGATTTGTAAGAGTTGATGAAGTTGTTTTTGTGTGGCTGCATAAAGTTTTATGTCGTCCATGTACATGAGATGTGACAGCGTAAACTGTGTTGTTTTTTCATGTCTGATATTGTAACCATGTTATGTGTTGTTTAGTATGTTGGATAATGGGTTCAGGGCTAGGCCGAACCAGAGAGGACTCAAGGAATCTCCTTGAAAAATTCCTCGCCTAATGAATATTTCGTTTGTTTGTATGGAAGTGTTACTAACCCTGAGATGTAGTGTTGTTCTCCAGTACTGCATAGTGTTTTGGAAGAATGCAATGAGTGTTGGATGTATTTTGTACATGTGTAGAATATGTAGCAGCCAACTGTGTGGAACACTGTTGAATGCTTTTCTGTAGACTATATATGACATGTGTATGTTTCTGTGTATCTATGAGTAACTGTTCTTTGCATTCTCTGTGATTTCTACAGCAACCTTTTTGTTGTTCTGTAAGAATGTTGTGTTCTTCAAGATGTTTGTATATTTTGTTTGCAATGCAGGATGTCAATAATTTGTAGAATGTTGGAAGACATGTAATTGGTCTGTATTGTGTGGGGTCTGTGGTGTTGTTGTTTTTAGGTTTCATGTAGGTGATGCCCTGAGTTTTGAAAGAAATTTTGGCATGTCTTGTGGATTGATGATGATGTGTGTGAGATGTTTAGCTAGTTCCTGGTGCAGTGATGTAAACTTTTTGTACCAGAAATTGTGAATGTTGTCTATACCAGGTGTCTTCCAAATGTGTGTTCTGTTAACAACGTAGCAGATGTTGTGTATGTTTATTTCAGCACAGGGCATAGTTGGTATGTTATGCAAGTTTCTGTTCTCCTCCTCGATCCAGCCTGCATCAGCATTGTGCATAACAGCACTAGACCAAAGAGAAGACCAACAAGTTGTGAGTTCTTCTTCTGTTGGTGTGCCACTGTGCTGTGTATCAGTGTTTGTTTTGGTACTGATTTGTCTGTAGAAAAGTTTTTCATTGTTTGTGAATAATTTATTTTGTCGTTTTTGTAGTGAACATGTTTTGTATCATTTGAGTCTATGTGCTATGGCTGCGAGTTTCTGTTTTAGCGTATCAATGTATTCTGTAATGTGTGTGTTGTGATGTTCATGTTTTGTGTGTGCTGTGATGTTCATGTTTTGTGTGTGTTTTGATTTTCTTGAAAATGTTTTTGAGTTGTTTCTTTAATTTGGGTGTTATGTTGTTTTTAGTGTATTGTGTCAGCCTGCCTAATTGCTGTCTAATGTCATTTATTTGTGTTTCTATTCTTCTCTTCCAGGTAGGCTTGTGATAGAATTGTGTTTTGTGTGTGTCAGTCTGTGATTGTATTTTCAGACCATGGTGTGTTACTACTGTGACTGCCCCAGCATAAACTAATGTATGAATGTCTGAGAGTGTAGAAATTGAATGAATGTAGTTTGGTAGTAAGTGAGTGTTTACATAATTTAGTGTTTTTCCTACTACCTTTGATGTGTTGATTTTTATATTCATAGTCTTTGTGTGGGATCTGTACCAGTGTATTTAGTGAGTGTTTTCTGAAATATAAGTGAGAGCATATTAACTAAATCTATGTCTATGCTATCAGTGGTGGATGAGGAAGTGTCTGCAGTATCATTAGTGGTAGTTGTTGTATGTGTGCTATTATCAATGCTTGTTGCTGGATTATCCTGAAAGGTTACATGATCTTCATTAATAATGTTAAATGTTTCTGTCTGTTGATGTATTTGATCAGCAACCTGTTATTTGATAAGTTCAAATGTTGTTTGTGGGATAAGATTGTTGTGTATAATAGTTCTTTTTTGATCAACAACCCTTTGTTCAGTGACAGTGAGGTGAGGATATTGTTGTGTGAATCTGTGGTGTAGTTATTGTCTGTATGCTGTCATGTTTGTTTCTGATTACATTTTGATCTGGTTACTACCATGATAATTATCTCCACAGAATGTGGGTGTGGTCACTCTTAGCTTCATTTCTCCCCATAGACCTTACTTGCATGGGTGTCCCTACCAGGAGCTTGTGCTTCAGACTGCATTGCTTTATGGCTCAGTGAAATTACTGGGCTCTCCCACCACAACCAGGTGGTGACCACGGGAGAGTTTATTATTATTATTAATTAATGAAAATAGCATTCTGTATACATAGCCATACAGAATTTGCTTAATAAATTACATCAGGTATGTGGCATTTGGCATACCATACAAAAATATATAAATCTTGGATAATTCAAAACTTGATAATTTGAATTTGCAATTATTTTGTCCCTTGAATTTTGAACTAACTAGGATTTCCTGTGATATTTGGACTTCTGATACATTTATTGTTAACAAAAGACATGTTTTTAATTTATTATGATAGTTTATGATTTAACACTATATTAAAAAGTTTAAATTAATAGATGTAGACCTATAACAAGAAAATAACATAACTATTTGATTACTTAAAGACCTTTTAAAATTTATTTTCAAAATATTTTTATTTTCTTTCAAGTATTCTGTTCATGCTGTGTTAAATATACAATAAATACAATACGTGTATCTTAAATTTTTCTTATTTTAGAAACTGGGCTATAATTAAATTAAATTTTTTTGTTTTTTGACAACCAAAAATGGGAATCAGTCATTGTTAGAATAGTTTCTTCTGCATAACCAACAGTTCTTGGAGGGAGATTTCCTTTCCTATTCCTGTTTTTTAGAAAGTAGTTTTAATAAAATTCTGTTCTCCTAATCTTGCTTCTCCTTGTCTACAAAATAATAATTAACATAACAGCTAAAGTAAAATTGCTGTAACGTAATGTATTTAAAATGCAATTGGTTTTCTGCTATGTTGCTGTTCAGCTTGATATGAAAACCAAAGAATGCACTGCTAGCACTAAGCACTCAAAGTATTTTGCCATCCTGGAACCACCATTAATGTCACAAAGATCCAAATTTAAACCTGATACGCATCCTCATATTTATCATGAATGGCGTGTTAATGCATCAGTGCTTGCACATGTGGGTGAGAAATGAGGAATGTCTCTTCCCAGGTTGGCCAACCCCATAGTCAGACATATCCTAAATTGTGGCCAGTCACAGAGTCGCATATTAGTTAATGGAAGACAGCAACAATAAATGAGTGACTGATTGATTAGTTACTAATATTATAAAGAGGTAAAGTTTGTAAGTTTGGATGTAGGAGGTAATCTCCGAAACTACTCATCCGATTTCAAAAATTCTTTCGCCAATATTTAGAATGGACCTTCATGGTGGACATAGGCTGTATATTATTCTGTTGAACATTCATATAAATTAAAAAATATCATCTAGGTAAGCATTATATTTTTGGTGTCAGCAGGTGGCAAGGGACAAGATGCATACATATACGAGATAGGTAACTGCGCGGCGCAGTCGCATGGTCGACAAGATACACAGTGCATGTGTCTGAACTTGTACTATATAAAATTAACACGGGGAATGCATGCACATAAGTTCAATCTATTCGAACTCTTAGTCTTAATGTTCGATTTTATATTCGAATTTATATTTATGAATGATTCCAGAAGATCCAACTTAATTTTCAAATTTAGTAAACTAGAAGAACAACCCAGAAGGGGTTACAAAAACATTTGTTATTTATCACTTAGTGGTACTACGCACTGGTTAGTGGTTGCTGTGAATCTTAATTATCGTTATCCCAGTGTGGTAAGCAGATATCTAAAAATTTTCTAATTAGTCTCAGAAGAGGGGGGACCTAATTCTTGCACTCGGTGAAAACGGTTAAGATTGGCTATAATCTAATGATCTTAATCTTTGCTACCGTTTCAAGCAATGCCTGGCTCATTTGCTAGTTAGTTAATAAAATGCCACAGTACTATAATTTGTATCAACTTGTCATCATTTAATTAATCATTAAAGAGAAAGTGAATGATAATGACAAAAATTAATATAATAAATCTTACAAGAATTCTTAGAATCTGGTATGTTCTTTAATGATTGACGAGTCATCTGCCTCTTCTCCGACGTGAACTGTCCACCCGTGAGACTGTACTGATTCCAATTAATTTCTGGAAGTTCTGCAATTCGAAGCGGATGAGGAAAATTTAAATTTTCTTTTTTCTGCAATTTCTTAACAAATGCAATTGGACTGTCTAATGCTTGCTTTTGACTTTCTAGCAATTTATCTAAATCCTGAATGACTTGCATTCGTTGAGCCTCGAGAATTGCAACAGTCTACAGAGAAAAATCATTTAATATTCTTTAAATAATTAAAATATTTTTATATCAATCAATAATCCTATATCTTAACTAGTATCTTGCTTCACATGTTTATCAAACTGTATATCTTAAATTTGTTTTTAATTTATTAACTAAAGAAATTAGAGAATTAATATACTATGTAGACTACCTTAAAATAGTAATTCTCCTTAAACATCCCTAGTTTTGCAGATTAATTTTGAGGAAAGAAACACAAATAAAGTACTGTAAACAGTGATAATAGAAAGTGCATCCGAAAAAGTTAGTTACTACATTAAATCAATACATTTACACATATGCTCCTGACTGGCAAGTATCAGGTCAGTCCATAAGTTCGTGCACATTTTTATCTACAAAAAAAGCAACAAAAAATTTTAACTAAATTTTATTTCAATTTATAATGTATTCACCATCATTTTGTACAATTTCTTGCCATCTTGATGGTAGCTTTTTAATCCCGTCTTTGTAAAATAATTTCGGTTTTGAATCAAAATATTCAAAACCGAAATTCAGAAATAGCCTTTTTTACATTGTTCTCATCCTCAAAAGTTTTTCCTTTTAAAAAATTCTGCAAACTCCGAAAAAGATGATAATCACTGGGAGCAATATCTGGCAAATATGGTGGATGAGGTAAAATTTCCCAGTTGAAGCTTTGGAGTTGAGCAGTTGACGTTGTTGTCAGTTAGCTATTGACAGTTCATGTGGTATCCATTTTCCTAGCTTTGAAACTTTTCCGATTTGTTGTAGATGTCTATGAACAGTTCCATGGGATGAATTTAAACGTTCCGCAATTTCATCAACTGTTAAAGATGGTTCTGCTTCAACTAGTGCAGAGAGAGCATCATCATCAAAGTCAACGGGTCTTCCAGTACGAGCCTTATCCTCCACACTAAAATCATTATTTCTAAATCTTTCAAACCACTTCTGCGCAGTCCTTACACTTGTTACAGTTTGATTATGAGCAGTATTTAATTTTTTGGCTGCATTTGTAGCATTCTCACCACTTAAAAATAAAAAGTATAAAACATGTCTCTTATATTCATCTATTACTTCCATTTTAACGAAAATAAACAACTGAAATGTTCCCAATTCTGAACAGTATTATATGAAGAGATCCAATTTAACACTTCAGTGTAAAAAGTATCACATTAGACTGGCATTTTTAACAGCAAAACAAGATTTTTCTCAAGGTCATAAAATACACACGAACTTATGGACTGACCTGATATGTTAAGATGTAGCATGCATTCTAATGTAGCCAGCAGGTTAGAAGTCACATTGTTAATGGCATCTGCAATGCTTAAATGCAGGCTTTTAAGTCTGATACTTTTGTGTCATACATATAATCCCTGACATTCTCAGAAAGAAAAAAGTTCAAAGAGATAATGTCAGGTGATTGGGTGGACAGACCAATAAATCTAGACCATGTGGTAATGGAAGTCCAGATCATCACCGTGTGGCAGCAGTAGCCCTTTCAAGCATAAGCAAATGAAACTTCGGATATTAATCAACATTATCCAACATATTTTACTCACATATCTGAACAAACAGATTTTACAGAACAGTTTAAAACTAGGGATGTTCAATGAGGATACCCTGTATTGTATAAAAAACCAATAAAATAACAACAAAAATCTTACAAACAAATAAATAAATATAAATACATAACAAAGTTTTTTCTTTATATGTACTTTGCTATTATATAAATAACTTTTAGGCAAAACCCCAATGCAACTAATAAACATTAAATTTTGCATTGAACTAAATCATTGCTGAAAACTTGTAAAAATTATTAGAAATGTAATTAAATTGTTGACAGATATCCATTTCTCTACACAGTATAACATGTTAAATTGCATTATTAAAAATAAATATAAAACTTTTACTGATAAAATATGACAATAAACAAACTGCTTAATTGAGGCACTAAAGGAAAATTAGGCATGCACACATTTTTGGCTAATCAGTAATTTTCACATATTGCAAAACAGAGCAGTTTGACCAAACAACTTTGCTATTAATAGGCACATAGACATCCATCCATAAAGCCCTTTTTTCATATTTTTGGAATCAGAGCAACTATTGAGTAATGCTAAAAATCAAGGTCAAAATTTGACCAATTACAATACTCTCCCTCTGTTGTCTAACAGTTGGAAAAGTAAAAACAGAAAATTTCAAATTAAACCACATCTGTATCATTTCCATTTGTTCAAACAGTTCTTTTTCGATGCCCAAAGATGGCCAATTTGTCAAAAACTTTTGCAAGTTTGATTTTTCCCTCTATTACTCAATTAAGTAGCTTATTTATGTACTGTATATATAAAATATTTGCCTTTAGCATATTATGATAATCGGGATTTCCTTTAAGAGCAAGATGATCGGACTCAAAATAGTATTCTCCGATGTCATCGAAATCACTCTCTTCCTGCTTAGTGCATTCCTTTTCACAATTTCCATTTGCAATACTTTTATCCATCTCTATAAAATGTAAGTCAATAAACATATAATTAAATAATTGAACAAAAATTATTTATAGTAACTATTAATTCTTTTAACCTCTATGTCCTTACTGTTTTACATTTCTATGTACATACAGATAAAAATAAAAATATTTTGTTTTGACTTTTGACTAAGATCTCTTTTTGCTAATCAGAAACTATACCAGTATAATACTGTTAGTCATATTAATAAACAAGATCCAAGTAGACAGCATATATACAGAAAAGTATTTATAGTAACATTTTGCAATAATAATCAAAATAAAACTTCATTCAGTAATAAACAGAATATAATATTCTCCATTATTAATCTCATCCTTGTATACTTTTTCTATGATAAATTACTTAAACTTTTTCCTATTAATTGTAAATTTACATACAAATTAAAATTTTGGAAAATGAAAAAATATAAAAGAATCTGATTTTGCTTCCCATGGAGGTATACAAAGCAGAAAGGTTAAAATTGTACTGCATGATTCAAGTACTCATTCATACTGAAATAGTGTGTTCAATGAAAATTAGCTGTTGCTTTCACTGAACATGCTATTTCTATCAGATCCATAAAGTTTAGTAGTTAAACTTAAAACTGGGAAAGGAAATGAAATAACTCAAAGTTCAACACACTTTTTTTTGTAATGTCAGTGTGTTTGTTTCTCTACAACACAAACATTCTCGGCTCTCTTTATGGGTGTCTTCAGGTAACTCTTATAAAAGCATTCTATTGAATTAATATTTCAATGTGAATTTAAAAAGCTAACCACTGAAGGCAACTTGACCTATAAAATTACAGTAGACTTTCTCATATCCTGACTAATCAAAAATAACCAAAAAATTTTCAAATTATTGTACAGTGGCTGTTCGGTTAACGAACAGTTCAGATAGCGAACAAATCGGATAACGAACACTTTCAGGAAAGATTTTTATGATCGGACAACAAACACATGTTCGGTTAACGTATACTTTACTGAACAAACATAAAAATAAGCTACGGAAAATAATGAAAACTGATTGATTTTCCCTTGTCTTCAGGTAACAATTTGAAACCTTTTGGAGCGCGGGAGATGTCAACGTCGACATCAACCCGATACCGATCTGATAGTATAATATTCCTCCGAATTTTGAAACTCTCCCTTGTAATTCCAGCTTTTTGTTTACCTTTCTGACAAATAATTTTTTATAGTATTTGCGAGACTGTCCGATGTGCCACTTGTTAAGTTTTGCATCGGGGTTTATTTACAAAAGTTGGAAGTTTAACTGTCTCATCGGATATTCGTTAACGTTTTAATACCAAATTTCAAATTTCATTCGGGCCTTGCATTTAAATAATTTTTTGTGGGCTAGTTGATTTCTGTTCTCTGAATTTTTGTAAGTGCTTTTCTGAATTTTTTTTATTTAAAAAAGAAATTGATAATATGGAGCCTAAAAAGAGGAGTACCAAGAACTGCGCTCACCGTAGAAACCAAGCAAGAGATAATAGCCAAGGTAGAAAGTGGGCACAAGATGTCTAATATTGTTAGGCAGAATGGCTTGAACAGGTCTACAGTAGGCACAATTTTAGCTATGAAAGATACATCAGGAAGTCTCAAGCTGCTAATGGAGTCATGAAAATCACATCTGAGAAATAAAGAGCATTTTAGAGCTCATAATGGAACCTGAAACTGATCTGACAACAGAAGAACTCCAAGAACTCTCAAATGAAAAATACCAAGAAACTCAGCGAGACGTGTTTTCTTTTGAAAAAGAGGAAGATGAAAGAGGACCAATGTCAACATCTGCTACTAAAGATCTTTTGAAGAAGTGGGAGGATATCAGATCATCCAAGTGGCATCCAAACCAGAATAAGGTTAATGGGGTTGGCAATCTTTACGATTACAATACTATTAATTACTTCTGAAAAATCCTGATGAAAAGAGAAAAGCAATCGACATTGGACAGATTCTTTAACCCCCACAAGCGGAAAAAACATGACTAATAAAAATGAAAGACTACATATATATGTATTTTTACTATTACATATAAATAAACGTAGTAAAAAAGTATATATTTTTTACTTTTTGGAGTCTCCGGAACGAATGAATCAAATTCCCATAAAAACCTATGGTAAATTGATAATCGGTTAACGAACAATTCAGATAGCGAACAAAGTCTTGGTACAAATTATGTTCATTAAACGATCACCCACTGTATAATAATCTAAATCTTACCTTTCCATACTGCAGTGTGTATATTTTTTATTATTTTTTTTGACATTAAGATTGCCTTGAAGTTCATAGAAGAGCACAAAGCCTCAACCATTGCTGACTTGATAATGATGAGGTATTGGCATAATTGAGTCAGTAAATTGAGAAGAACAAAACAAACAACTTTTTGTTTTGTTCTTCTCAATTTGCTTCTCAAAATAAACATCGAATCAAAATAAATATTTATTATACAGATAATAAGCAAAGCATGTATGTTACAGTCTTATTTAAAAATTATCGCACTCCCTTGTCCAGATTTTTCTAATATCTGGCTCATTCCCACCCACATTAATTTGGATATGGGAGAGTCTCTTGCATAAATTTTTTTATCAGAGCCAAGTGAAAATTTTCAAACACATAATCTTATAATAAATAACTAAAGCATTCATAGAAATTCTAGAACTTATTTTTACAAAATTGTAGAAGTAACCAAACAACTTAGTTTTAAAGGTACAGTATGTAGGCTTTTCTTAATTTTGAAGGCTTCATAGCCATTTCTGTTCTTGTTTATCTTCTCTCTTCTAATTGTATTGTAGAGTACATTGCCCTCCAAGCTGATGATAGCTGATAGCCTCTGTGCATCCATCATACTTCATTAGTTGCTTTAAACAGCATGAGCAGGAGATACCACATTGCATGATAGTAAAATATGCCAAAAAATAAATAGCATATTCAAGAAAATTGAGAGATACAACATCATATGCTCAGTTACTCAGTGTACAAAATTTTACAAAATATTAGATTCTATAAACACACATAGAGCCAGGGAGTGTATTGGATCCTTATAATGGATCAAAGTTGGAGAGGAGGTAGAATATATATAGGTTGCACCTGTAGGTCATTTGCATTCAGACTGAAAGAACACAAATATACTATTGAAGAAAAGAAATCAACAACTGCACTAACCATGTTTATAACATAGCCATGGATAGAGGCACATTTAGATGGCATAGAGATGATACATACCAACTTTAGAAATACATTCGAACTTGACACATTAGAAATATTTAAAACAGGCAATTAAGGATGATGTATCAATCATAAGGTTGCAGAAAAATTAATAACAGTTTGGAGAACTTATCCCCAAAGTAATAAGCATTAATTATATCAACACACCTGAATTTTTGCCGAGCATAAATTATTTTATTCTCAAACATTCAAAAAATTCAGGTGTGTTGATATAATTAGTTGCATTTGCTGAGAAAGAGGTGATAGTAATAGCATTGTTAAAATGTGCTATAGTAAAACCTTGCTAAGTCAAACTGCATTAACTCAAAGCTGTCTACAGATCTTAGGTACAATATATAGGATTTTCCATATAATAATACAGTCTCATTACATCAAAATTGTCAGCACTTTTAACTCAAACTTATTTTCCTATGTATCCACAACCCTTTGATAAGTCTATAATCTCCATTTTCTCTTAAAATTGCATATGAATACAGATGATTAAGATAAACAAACATTATTTCTCCAAGCCAAACACAACATCATGCCATTACAATCTTGCACCAACATCCTTTTACTGATATAGTATGTTACCAGCATTTTGATTGGGTACCATGAGAATTTACCCAAAAGCATCATAAACTGTATATAATTTTGTAATCATTCTGTGAACAATTCTCAAGAAAAAGCTTGATAATGGAGAATTTATGGCATTGAAAAGATTGTTAACTCAAAACTTATTAATTTAAAGTCAGGATTTTTTACCTTTTGAACTTTGAATTCATGAACTTTTACTGTATATACTTAAAATTTGCATTATATAAACACAAAAATCAGATGATTTTGTCAGAAGTGATTTCAGGACAATGAAATATTAGTCCAATTACTTCCAATCAAACAATGCAATTTTTCATACCTGAGATTGCCACAATATTGTGTAGCAGGCATTTAAACATGGCTGCCCAACAAATGGTATATACAGGAAATTCTTGTTAGTTCAAATTCAAGGGACAAAATAATCATGACTTTGAATTATCAAGTTTCAAATTATCTGAGATTTATATATTTCTGTACAATATGTCAAATGCCATATAACTGAAGTAATTTATTAAGCAAATGGAATAAGGCTACATATACAGAATGTAATTTTTATTAATTAATAATTAATAATAATAATATAAATAAACTGCAGGTAAACAGAACGTATCCAGTGAGAACCTCTCAGATAAGTTTTATAAAAAGTAAAGCAGATTTTCTCAAAATGCACCCTAAATTATTTTTAAAGTGGCCCAAAAAGTAGAAAGTTGCCCAAATGTAGTAGCCTAGAACACTACGAATATCTCATTCTGCTACTTTTAACCTAATCTTGCAATCCCGAAACCCAGCCATATTTTATGAGATAAGAGAGAAAATGGAATGGTAATGTATTATGGTAAAAAGTTTTTTTGTATTTTTTGTATTATGAAAATGTATTATGGTAAAATCCGAAAATGTATTATGGTAAAAGCAAAGCCATATTGACCAGATTAGAATTGTTCTTGGTCTATTGTTCTCTTATAGCATGGAGATAGATCTAAATGAACTAGTTAACACATGCATATCACAGTTTGGAAAGAATTTTCAATTTAAATTTTGAAGTAGCCATATTTCAAACTAACCTAATTCCTTAACGTGTGTAAATCTCTATATCTAAGGCCAGGACAAAAGTACTGTTACAAATTAACAGGATTTTGAACTGAGTTCAAATTAACAAGGATTTCCTGTGTCATGAAAGCAATTATTGTAATGCTAGCTGCAGATGAAATAGCTGAAGAACATAAAAAAAAGTCTGGACATGGAAATGGATCGTGAACAGAAAAACCAAAGGCTGTTATGATAACCTTCTTCTCTCAAAGTGTTTTTGAAGTATTGTCAACCTTTATAATTCCATAAATGGCTTTCACCTATGTACATATAAATAAATTTAATATCAGAGATAGTATCTGGAAACATGTCTCTTTTAATAATAAAATATTGAAAATCAAGATCAAGTCATCTTTTGCCCTTTTGCTCTATGTGAGGTTTCTGTCCTCACTGAGCTAGCCTTAGGACACCTGCATTATCTTTTGACAGATATACTGCCCCAGTTAAACTTCCCGCCTGACACTGTCCTTGGGGCAGATCGCTGCAGTTGTCTACAATAAAATGCTAACAAAGCATGTGAATCAACACACAAGTACAAATGACTTGAGATATTCCTGTCAGATTACATCTATCCCTCATGGCATTCTAACTTAGCATTGAAATGTTCTTATAAGAGAAATAGGTTGAAGTTTAGACAATGTTTGAAAGTAAAGCATCAATACAATGGCTATTGGTTATAAGTTGTATCTTATGTCAGACAAAATTTACAACTGATTGTGATTGTATACAATTCATATACAATCATAATTTCCCTACATTGTATGATACTAAAAGAGAAATATGAAAGTTGCATTCTCTACCAAAACTATATTTTATATAAGTTTTATATATATAATCTTCTAATTACCAGACTTTAATCTATATAGTCCTATAGTAGCCAAACTGCAACTTACAAGCAGCATACAGCACTTGTAAGCCCTTGCTATATATATATATATAAAGAACTGGTGGGTCACAAAATATGTAGTAGTAAGAGTCCAGAAGTGCTGCATGCTACTTGTAAGTTGCAGTTTGGCTACTGTAGGACTACTGTATATACATTAAAGTATGGTAATTAGAAGATTAAAATGTAACTGAAAAGATGTAAAGAAATTTAAGATCTGATGAAAAATATATATCATCTTATACCTTCTCTGCATTCTTGGAGACCAAACAAATAAAAAATATCTCTCCTAATCCAGAGTACTTCTTTCTCTCAGATAGTTAAAATCAGGCAGTCAGAGAATACGAAAGGGTAACAGATTTTAACACTACATAAATACTTTAAATTATGTAATGTTAGATAGAATCTAAGATGTGTGTCTTTCACAACCTGCTTGATGATGAGTTGAGAAGATAATTAAGGCCTATCAATATACCCATCATCTACCCTATCACATTGGGTCAATTCAATGTATTTCCATAAGTGCCATTTGTATGTGTTGTATTTCATGAAAACTCTGGTTCTCATGCAACACATACAAACAGCACTTATGGAAATACATTGGTAACTAAGGCCATTAGAAAAATAAACTTGTTTACATTTTTGTTTATACTTTATGTTCCTATCTATTAATTGATTTAATTATTATAAATAATTTTAATAATTAACTATTCCAAAAATGAATCTTTACTGGTTTTAAGCTGATTTCTGTAGATATGCATATTGCTTTAGAGTGGTCACAAAGTCACTTTGCAAATGTTGTCTACACGTTCCCACCATTCTCTGTACAAATTTTTATTTTTTCTCATATTGTTCTGAAAATATTCCATATTGATAACTTAAAGTTATTAAAATAGTCTATATTATCTATTTTTAAATCATCAATTGCTCAGTAAAGTAGAAAAATTTTCTCATTTACAGTACCTCAAAGCAAATTTTAGGTGGGACCTTCAAGATACAATATTGAGTCCATGTCCAATTTGTTGTTTGTTGAATTCATTGTCAAAATATTCTTTAATTGGAAAATCAAAGACAATCTCTTGCTTAGAGACTTTGTGGTCACTGTGTACATTTTAAATTTGTTTATATGGTTTGTATGGTTTACATAAAACTGGAACAATTGACATTAAAAGCAAAACTTTCATACTTTTCCAGTTTGAGTTTATTTAGATGCTTTTAATGATTTAAATATGTTATAAATTGATACTTTTGATGTTTCACAAATAAAATTTATTGTATCCAAAAACAAGATTTGTTCAATTAAAATTTGAGGAAATCCACAGGGAGGAACCATGAGATGGCTACTGATCCTCTCAAGATTTTCTTTATTCTTGCATTCTTCTTCTTTGCAATTTTATAAATCAAATGTAACTAGAAATCTTTCGACCCAAAAGAGTATACAGAGGTGGGGACATCAAACATAGTCCCAACAGAGGTTGGGTCAGTCTGAAATGCACGCAACTCAGTTTTACGATAATTGAACTTTATTCTCCGAATGCTACAGTACATGGTGCAATTAACCAATCTTAAAAAGGTGCTACCACAATAATAAACAAAGATTATAATAGGAAATTTTGGTAACTGCTATCTTGGAAGACTTTAAAGCAGGATAAAGATTTAAATTAGTTATGCATACTGCACAAAAATCTACTTTGCAGGGTAACTACTTTCAAATGCATAGCTAGGATATATTGGAACTTCCCCACAACATTGCCTTAATTCCAAAGAAATAAATTGAAATACACAAACAACACACAATTCCAGCTATTAACAATGAAAGCAACTTCAAATATTTATCTGTTTCACAGCAAAAACAAGTGAAAAGAGTGTAGTTTGAGGGTTTTGGTGATGAAAAAAAGAGTATAGATTATATGGATTCCTAAAAGAGTATAACTGATAGCCTTAATTTAAAGCAATGGCATTTCTGTAAGAGTAAATTTATGTTAATAGTCATTGTACTGATGTAACTACAGTCGTCAAAACAAGTTGGTCCTTTTCCTTATAGTTAAATGCAGATGCTATATTATTTGGAAGACTTCATGTTTTAAAAGATAGTAGAAGTTTCCATTTATTGTTAACTCTCATAAAGATAAAGGAAGATAATTTAGTAAATAAATTATTTGGTAAATTGAAAAATAACTATTTGTTTTGTCTCCCCAAGACAAAATCCTTCAGGTATCCTTAGAACATCTATAAAAATGTATTAATTCTGTTTGCATTTAATTGTTTCTGTACAAGAAGAGTATGGGTTATAGGTGACGTGCATAAATTTTAAAGAGGAGATGCTTTTGTCGATGGCCTGACAAGAAGAGTATACTAAGAAGACTTTATTTTTGCAACTATCTTCATATTATGCATATTTTTAACTAATTTGTCATCTTAGACTTTATTAGTAATCACAAAGATTACTAAAAAAGTAATCTTTGTGATTACTAATAAAGTCTAAGATGACAAAATACTAGCCACCGTGATAACTTAGCCAGACTAATTACTGCAGGATTTTTAAAAGAATCTGTTTTCAACCCAGTTAAAGAGCTGAAAGCATTAGCGTTCTTCCAAAAATCCCACCATTAAAGGTGCATTAATTAGTCCAGTTTATTAATATTCTTACATTCTTTAACTCAAAAAAGAATTTTAAAAATTAAAAACTGGACTTATTTTATTGTAACATAAGAATTTAAATTGTCTTTATATTCTTAGCAATTGTATAAACTTCTTACATAACCATTACATTGTTACTACAATTGTAATTTTGAAGCAATATCATTACCAAACTCCATATTTTAATTTTAAAATTTAATAGATGGATATTCCATTTATTTTGCTGTGCAACTTATTTAAAATAAGTCATAAAATATTGTAAACAATGATATTATTTGGAAAATTTATGAAATAAAATCAGTAGCATCTGAAGAACTCAAACATGTGATAGAAATGTATTAAACAATGCAAAATTTACAATTATTGACATTAATTTTAGTGAAAATTGTCAATAAAGATAAACATATTAATATTTGTATATTTAAATCTTTTATAATTGATGAAAAATATAATATATTAACTTCTAACATTTCATTTAAATTATATTATTTATAAAATTAAATAAATTATATATTAATTTCTTACTTGTATAAAAATAATCAATTACAATTTGCAAACACGTGCTACAGATACTAAGAATAAGCCATTCGACGATTATTATTTAAGTTTATAAGTGTTTAAAAAAATAACTTTTTATTTCATATCACTTACCGAAACTTTGTAATAAAATATAAAATTAAAAAAATAAAAACGTTAAATTTAAAACTATTTTCAAGATATTTTGCCATTTCGTGAAATATCCCTAAACGAACGAAATTTCCCTAATCGCAAAAAAATTTTTATTCGAGTACGTAATTTTACATTCCTTATATAAATTAAAATAGAAATAAATTATTAAAAATTAATTAATTTTAATAGTGATTCGATTCTATTTCGTATCAGATTTTTTCCCTAATAACTCGTTCTGGATGAATTTACGCGACTTTAACGTATTTTCCCCAAGAACGATAAGAGACGACAAAAATAAGCGAAAATTCCCTAAAACCAACCCTAAATCACTGTCCAGCAGAAATTCAGAAACTAGTTGGAAAAATGTCATGAATAATCTAGTTTTTGGTATTTAAAACGACTTTAAATTTATAAATAATTAACTCGGATAGCTTGAATTGTGTAAAACACCTTAAAGAAAGTGAAAACGATGATGTGTTTGAGGATTTTTTCGAGAGAAATGAATTTGTTTGAAGTAAAAATCGCGTAAAGAATTCGATTCCCCCACGTTTTTCCCCCTGAATGGCGAAAGTTTTGTTTACATTTTGTGGATCGGTGACGAATGGAGTTCGGAATGTCATCGGAAGAAGTGAATTTAATTAGAAGAAGCGAAAGATCCGTCAAAAGAAAGAGAAATTATTCACCCGAGCCGATTGTTAAACAGAACAACATCAAAAAGCAAAGAAAATCTGTAAACAAAGAGCGAAATGCACCTCTGTTGGACAATAAATCGAACAGAAAGCCTTTGTATTGTAATAAATGCAAGTCTTTATTTATTGTAAATTCTTACAAGTAAGTAAATCTTCTTGCATTTGATACACGTGACTTGTAAATTTCGGGTTCTTTCTTAATATTAACGGTGTGGAGAAGAAATGTGTAACCGTTCGGTACAATTACGCCAGCAATTGGGTCTGTGGGAGCAAAGACATTGGAGGAACCAACCCTCGGCTTGATACGGAAGTTATAGTTTCAGTGGGTGCTGAGATGTGAGCACCAAAGTGTGCAATTACGTATGGAGCAAGCCTTGATTGATACGGAGTGTGGAGAATGGGCAGTATACTGGTTCGTGATAAAAATCAACCTTTGGAGGTGGTTGTCTCACCGAGGGTCATGTTTACGGGTATGGTTCCATCGACTGTTTTTTGGTCTACGGGGTGGCAAATCCTTTATTTGGAGTTCGCATCTTACCAAACTTTCTTGATTATGGCAAAACTTTTATGTCATTCTGTGTAAAATAGTGACAAATTTTGTGAGGGCTAGTTATTTACTGTATAGTTCATTGGATAGAATTGGGTTCATTGCCTACTAAAGGCACTTCACCGGGCAATGTAGTGGTTGGGACCTTATCAGAGCTGTAGATCGTGCCCCTAGGAGTAAAAAGTCAAAGGAATCAATAGTCTATGTGTGACTCTTTGTGAGATATTGCCCCCCTCTGATATTGGCCTATCTAGAATTTTAAGGACCCTCAAAAATGGGCTAAAATTTAAAGATGAAAAAATCCAGAACTATTTCTCAAAGAAAGCTAAAAACATCAACCAATTTTGACTTTACTAGAGGTGGCTAAAAGCTCATAAAACAATAAACACCATTGCACCAACTATTTCGGGGTGTGATCAGTTTTACTGTGTACTTGATTAAGCCTATCTCATGTTTATAGGTTGATATTGGGGGCTATATCTCATGAATAGTGATCGTTGGTTTCATTGACTCTTTTTTACTTCTATAGGCACGATCTACTGCTCTGATAAGGTCCCAACCACTTCATTCCGATCTGCAATTTTACTTCTTCTTCTCAGGAGTATGGGGTGCATAATAAAGCAATAAAGTGGCTTTAATAGAGCTGATAAGCAAGCCAATGACATAGCCTATTTCAAATTGAATGGGCTTTGTCATTGACTTGCTTGTCCAGTTGTATGAAGCCACTTTACCAGACTGTGCCCATAATATACTCTTATCAATGTGTGGTCTTAAATCTATTTCTCAGAATCTGGTATTAGCTGGGATCTTAGACTTTGTATGTTCTGTGCGATACAGGCTTTACATTATATAAAGTTATATAAAGTAGGCTCATTGCAAAACTATGCTTGTCAAAGGTCTTATACAATTTAAAATTATCACTACTTAATTAGATATTTTTTCTTTATACTATTTTGCTTTTATATTTTATAATAGTAACACTGTTGGGCCATTATTTTTTATATCAAGAATTATTATTGGGCTGCAATTTGAGAAAATTATAGACCTATAAATTCCCACTGTCCGTCTGTCTTTCTTTAATCTCAAGAATGGAGTTAGCTAGATGAAAGCCTAGACCAGATATGGAAAGATTAGGGGCAGGAGGCCCCAATTAACTATATATGAACTTCTGGTGCAAACCAGAAGTCATGTTATTTCAATATTTCAATTCAAAAATTTTCCCCTGAAAGGAGTTAGATAGATGACTGGCACAACTCTATTGCTAACAGAAAAGTATGATGTACAGGGGCAAGACATTACTAATTTGAAGTGGAGAGAATATATATTATACTAGCTGTTACCCGCGACTTCGCCCGCAAAAGTTTTGCAAGCAAACCCCATTTATATTCAGTATTTCAACAACCATAGTAATTGTTATATAACAACTACTGCTGAGAATGATGAGAATTGCCGAGAATCAAATGAACTATTTTCAATTTGATCAATTTTCTGGAACGTTTACAATTGTTCTATAATCAAACCAATATGCAATAACAAATTCAAATTTAAAACGGTTCGAACATTTTTAAAATCGAAAAAGATAAAAATATTTGTAACAATGTCTGAAATGTTATTAATTTAATACACCTGAGTACTCGATGAAGACTAAATCCTCTCCCTCTCCCCCGAGGGGGAATTTCGAAAAATCCCTTCTTAGTGTGCATTCCCATGGTATACCCTACTAAAACACAGATAAAAACAAAAAATTGCATCTAAAATAGTACAGTAGAAGCCGTTCTTCCGGTTAAGACTTAATCCTCTCCCTTTCCCCCCGTGGGGGAATTTCGAAAAATCCCTTCTTAGTGTGCATTGCCATGGCATACCCTACTAAAACGCAGATAAAAACAAAAACATTGCATCTAAAATAATGCAGTAGAAGCGGTTCTTCCAGTTAAGCCTTAATCATCTCTCTCTCCCCCCCACGGAAGAATTTTGAAAAATCCCGTCTTATTGTGCATTCCGATGGCATACCCTACTAAAACGCAGATAAAAACAAAAAATTGCGTCTAAAATAGTGCAGTAGAAGCGGTTCTTCCGGTTAAGCCTTAATCCTCTCCCTCTCCCCCATGGGGGAATTTTGAAAAATCCTGTCTTATTGTGCATTCCCATGGCATACCCTACTAAAATGCAGATAAAAACAAAAAATTGCATCTAAAATAGTACAGTAGAAGCCGTTTTTCCAGTTAAGCCTTAATCCTCTCCCTCTACCCCCTGCGGGGGAATTTCGAAAAATCCCTTCTTAGTGAGCGTTTTCATGACGTACCCTAACTGTGTACCAAATTTCACCTCTTTAGGTTCAGCGGTTTGCTCTGGGCGATGATGAATCAGTGAGTGAATGAATCAGTCAGTCAGGACAAGCAATTTTATATATACAGTTGACCCCCCTATAACGTGCGTTCCTATAACGACAATTCCTATAACGTAGCGAAAAAATTGTAGCAACATTCGTATAAAATACCTCCTATAACGTCGTTTCGCAACGAGATTGATAGAATCTGGACCAATAGTGGATGAGCAGCCGAACTACTTTCCTCTGACCCTGCGCCACGCTACGGAACGGCTAAATTGAGTTTGCTATCGTCTGTACAGTATTATATATAAATTATATATAAATTAGGTACTGTACATATAATTATATATTAATTATATATAAATTAGGTACTGTATATATAATTATATATTAACTTATTGTATTGTAACTTTATTATAATTATATATATGCTTTCTGCCGCCTGGCAACACGNTTTTTTTTTTTTTTTTTTTTTTTTTTTTTTTTTTTTTTTTTTTTTTTTTTTTTTTTTTTTTTTTTTTTTTTTTTTTTTTTTTTTTTTTTTTTTTTTTTTTTTTTTTTTTTTTTTTTTTTTTTTTTTTTTTTTTTTTTTTTTTTTTTTTTTTTTTTTTTTTTTTTTTTTTTTTTTTTTTTTTTTTTTTTTTTTTTTTTTTTTTTTTTTTTTTTTTTTTTTTTTTTTTTTTTTTTTTTTTTTTTTTTTTTTTTTTTTTTTTTTTTTTTTTTTTTTTTTTTTTTTTTTTTTTTTTTTTTTTTTTTTTTTTTTTTTTTTTTTTTTTTTTTTTTTTTTTTTTTTTTTTTTTTTTTTTTTTTTTTTTTTTTTTTTTTTTTTTTTTTTTTTTTTTTTTTTTTTTTTTTTTTTTTTTTTTTTTTTTTTTTTTTTTTTTTTTTTTTTTTTTTTTTTTTTTTTTTTTTTTTTTTTTTTTTTTTTTTTTTTTTTTTTTTTTTTTTTTTTTTTTTTTTTTTTTTTTTTTTTTTTTTTTTTTTTTTTTTTTTTTTTTTTTTTTTTTTTTTTTTTTTTTTTTTTTTTTTTTTTTTTTTTTTTTTTTTTTTTTTTTTTTTTTTTTTTTTTTTTTTTTTTTTTTTTTTTTTTTTTTTTTTTTTTTTTTTTTTTTTTTTTTTTTTTTTTTTTTTTTTTTTTTTTTTTTTTTTTTTTTTTTTTTTTTTTTTTTTTTTTTTTTTTTTTTTTTTTTTTTTTTTTTTTTTTTTTTTTTTTTTTTTTTTTTTTTTTTTTTTTTTTTTTTTTTTTTTTTTTTTTTTTTTTTTTTTTTTTTTTTTTTTTTTTTTTTTTTTTTTTTTTTTTTTTTTTTTTTTTTTTTTTTTTTTTTTTTTTTTTTTTTTTTTTTTTTTTTTTTTTTTTTTTTTTTTTTTTTTTTTTTTTTTTTTTTTTTTTTTTTTTTTTTTTTTTTTTTTTTTTTTTTTTTTTTTTTTTTTTTTTTTTTTTTTTTTTTTTTTTTTTTTTTTTTTTTTTTTTTTTTTTTTTTTTTTTTTTTTTTTTTTTTTTTTTTTTTTTTTTTTTTTTTTTTTTTTTTTTTTTTTTTTTTTTTTTTTTTTTTTTTTTTTTTTTTTTTTTTTTTTTTTTTTTTTTTTTTTTTTTTTTTTTTTTTTTTTTTTTTTTTTTTTTTTTTTTTTTTTTTTTTTTTTTTTTTTTTTTTTTTTTTTTTTTTTTTTTTTTTTTTTTTTTTTTTTTTTTTTTTTTTTTTTTTTTTTTTTTTTTTTTTTTTTTTTTTTTTTTTTTTTTTTTTTTTTTTTTTTTTTTTTTTTTTTTTTTTTTTTTTTTTTTTTTTTTTTTTTTTTTTTTTTTTTTTTTTTTTTTTTTTTTTTTTTTTTTTTTTTTTTTTTTTTTTTTTTTTTTTTTTTTTTTTTTTTTTTTTTTTTTTTTTTTTTTTTTTTTTTTTTTTTTTTTTTTTTTTTTTTTTTTTTTTTTTTTTTTTTTTTTTTTTTTTTTTTTTTTTTTTTTTTTTTTTTTTTTTTTTTTTTTTTTTTTTTTTTTTTTTTTTTTTTTTTTTTTTTTTTTTTTTTTTTTTTTTTTTTTTTTTTTTTTTTTTTTTTTTTTTTTTTTTTTTTTTTTTTTTTTTTTTTTTTTTTTTTTTTTTTTTTTTTTTTTTTTTTTTTTTTTTTTTTTTTTTTTTTTTTTTTTTTTTTTTTTTTTTTTTTTTTTTTTTTTTTTTTTTTTTTTTTTTTTTTTTTTTTTTTTTTTTTTTTTTTTTTTTTTTTTTTTTTTTTTTTTTTTTTTTTTTTTTTTTTTTTTTTTTTTTTTTTTTTTTTTTTTTTTTTTTTTTTTTTTTTTTTTTTTTTTTTTTTTTTTTTTTTTTTTTTTTTTTTTTTTTTTTTTTTTTTTTTTTTTTTTTTTTTTTTTTTTTTTTTTTTTTTTTTTTTTTTTTTTTTTTTTTTTTTTTTTTTTTTTTTTTTTTTTTTTTTTTTTTTTTTTTTTTTTTTTTTTTTTTTTTTTTTTTTTTTTTTTTTTTTTTTTTTTTTTTTTTTTTTTTTTTTTTTTTTTTTTTTTTGTCAGGGTTGTATTACTTAAAATACTTGATAGATTTAATTTATTATCAGAATAGGATTGATAAATTTTGATAAATATATGATTTATTCATTTTTAAATATATTGATTCATTAATTAATCTCTCTCTGTATGATTCTTTAAATTTAAGAGTAAAAGTTCTGGAACAAAAATTCACCGAACAAATGTCGGATTGGGAAATGGACAAAAAAGAAGTCACCAGTTTGAAGATTTTGTTTTAAAACAAAGGAAATATCTTCGTGAAGAACTTCATTTATGTGAAAGGGCAACGCAGAAAGTTCTTATGTACTCAAATAATTTCCTTCATAAGAGGTTAAGGACTGAACCTGAGGTAATTGATATATTTTTGATCTATCATGTTTACTAAATATAAGATGCACTTTTTTCAGTTTTTAGTATCTCTGAAAATAGGTTGTGTCATAGATCTGATGTAATGTGTCATAATTAGTGACCTCTAATGCCATGCAACATATTTCTCTATCAGTAATTTTATTGTGTCATTTTAATGGTTTTATTACACCAATATTTGTAATAGTATATATTTAAGAGGCCAGCTAGCTTAATCAAGCTGTTATAGTAATGTAATAACTATTTGGATAGAAATTGTATAAAGAAATATGCAGTATTCTTTCAAGAAATGTTGCATTTTTGATGCGTCAAACAACACCAAGGATGATTACGTGTGGAAAAAGTGAAGGCCTAACACAAAGTCAGAAAGTAAAGAGTTTTCTGACTGTGATACTATGAAAAATAGTGATATATAACTTGCTTTGCAATAAATATTAAACAAATATGTATCAACAGAATCAATCCTGTTGACATAAATTTATCTCAAATTGTATATTTTTTCAAAAAGGAAGAAAAAATCCATGGGTAAGCATGTAAAAATTAAGATACATCTTAAATTTGATTTTGATGGTATCTTATGTTTGAGTAAATACAGTAATATTTATTTCTTTTATTCTTACTTATACAAAATTCTGAAACATGAGTAAAGCCATTAACAAACTTTAAAAGAACAAATTTTATATTTATCAATAATTTAGAATAGACTGTCTTGTAATTACATTCAAACACTTTAATGAGGCCAATGTAATTTTATGTGTGTTTGGTTTAAAGTAATAATGGGAAATTAAATACTCCCAATAAATATTTAGGCATTAGGCATTTTTTTTAAATTTTTAACTACAGTACATATCAACAATTACTTTTTTCTTCATTTAACTAAATTATAATTTGTTTACAGAGAGTTCGGCGAATAAAAAGGAAAAAGGGCAAAGCCGTGCTTGGATTATTAAAGCCTATATCTGATCTTCCAACAGAAATGTGTTGCAAAGATAACTGTGTTTTAATTGCTCTTTCTCATGGAAAATTGTTACAACAGTGGAGAGAGAGGGCAGAAATGGGACAAGCAGAAGCGAGAAGAGTTTTAGCAGAAATGCTTACACCATCTGGTGGAATCAGAACTAATTGTTATAAATTTATCTCATTGGTAATTTTAAAATAATGTAATCATATATCCTTTAAATTATGTCTTTATAGCAAAATATTGATTAAATTTCATATATATGCTACAGGTAACAGGTTGTAGTCGGAGTACAATATCAAAAGTTAGCGATCAGATGAGACTGACCGGAGGTGATCGTGAACCACCTCAGCATGGTTTAAAGAAGTTTTGGCAAGAACAAGCTAAAAAGCACACAGAAGAAAGTAATAAGTAAGTACTATGATGCTGTAATTATCAAATTAATAAATTTTTTTAGATGAATATTGAGATTTTCAGATAACAATGATCAAAAAATGTACTATAACATTATGCTTTATTATTCTTATTATTTAAGACCATTCAAATACACACACACATACATATATATATACATATANTAATTTGAAAATATTAATTAAGAATTACAAATGAATTTGACACAAGAGGGAGGGAGGCGTTAGGTGCCATCTTGTATTAAAATTAATAATTATAATATTTAATTAAATAATTTAGATTAAGCTGGAAGAAAAGAATCGGCTCGAAGTGGGACTCGAACCCACACTCCCGCTTACTGTGCGGATGCATTGATAGTTACGCTACCTGGACCTTTGATTCGATCTCCTCTTCCAGTATATATAAGTGTTAGATATAACCAGTTATTATGATACCAACTGGAGAGGCATTTGCACCTTCATCCAGAAACATCCACTCAAGGCACTCATTCAGCCATCGCATACCTGGCAAGGTATAAATATACACCCTCAAATTTTACGGCAGTTGTGGGTGTCCATTTGCTATGCATTGGGTTTTGGTTGGTGTTTATATTTGTACATTAATATTATCATCTTTTGTCTTTCTGTTAATGGAGATTGTCATTGTATTATTATATTTTTAGTAAATCTTTCATTAAGCAGTTTAGCTAGCTGAAATTCAAACCTCTCTCATCTGACCTTGACTTTTTAATGATAGTTTCAACTTCCTCCAATCTATTTGCAAAATTCTTTAATTCTTCTCAAAGAACGTATATTTTTTGTTTACAAAAACTGTATTTTGTATCTTATAATTTTAAATTCATTATTTAATCAAGAAAAATGTACCTGGATTACGCTGAATAATGATTATAACATGTACAGTATTCAGAATTTAGGTCTGTATCAGTTACTGGTTCTTCCAAAGGGTCAAAATAATCTTGTATATTAGAACCTTTTTGACTTTCTGTATATTGTCTTAGCTCCTCTTGCACATCTTCCTGTAATAAATCAGATTCTAAAGCAAAATCTTTTTTTGAACCCTTGAAATTCTCTTTGCAAGGCCTTCCCCACTCCTTTTTTGCATATCTAAAGAGTCAATGTTGTTTGGTGGAATATTGCAAAAGGTCTGAATTTGACTCTATTCCAGTCTTAATTAATAAACTTTTGATTAGCCTTAGGGATAACACAATTTTTATTATTATCAATTCATCCTTCATGATTTCATTCATTAATTTGTAACAGTAGCTTGTGTCAGAACTCATTGTAATTGAATTAATTTAGTTAATTAATGATTCATTTATTAAGAATATACAGTAGATATATATGTTACTATGTATCATTAAGATTAATAATTAGGAAATTTGAAATACTTTTAACTTAAATTATTAAATTCCTATTAATTATCAAAGTTGATATTTTATAATTGATGTTACTCATCAATATTTATTGCTCTAGATATTATATTTTAATTTTTATTATAAATTAATGATTTGAATCTGTTTCTGAAGTGTTTCTGCAGTTATAAATTGATAAAATTACATTCTATCTTACAGAAAAGTTAGGAAAAAATCTCAGCAATCATCATTTCCAAGATATTATTTTGACTCCGAATCTAATCGAATGTTACTTTTGTGTGTGGGATGCGGATTGGCTATCAACGATAAAAGCAAGAAAAATCAAAAAAAGAAGGCAAGTCTGTAATAAAACATTTAAATCATAATAGTTTATTGAAAAACTTTAATATATACAAGTAACTAGCTTTTTTCCATAGGAAATATTCACAGCTTTCTGTTAAAATTTATGATACATCTTTTTAATCTATTGAAGATCTTAAACAATTGATCTTGGCTATATACCTACATTAAACAAGATTCAATTATCAAATTTTGTTGGATCCAAAAAGAATGAAGACTGTAAAATAGAAGTTACAGTCAAGCAACATTAAACATGAAAAAACTTTTTATTAAACAGTGAAACAAGTATTTTCATCATTAATAATGTCAGTTTGATATTTATATGACATTAATGAAATAAAGTGGTCTAATAAGACAATTGTTTGTGTCGATTAATGTTCCTTTCATAAAGAAATAATTCAGAATAATTTTTTGTTAATACAGTAGAGCATTGATTAATTCAAATACCAATCCACCAAAACATTGGTTAACTGAAAGCATTCCAGTTGGCAAATTCAAATTTCCGCTTGTGCTGTGGTGCTGCAGCAATCTCTTCCTCCCTGTGAACCTAAACATAGGCCTACTTTAATATACTACTTTATGTAAGGGGTGTATTTGTAAGATGTGTGATAGAAATATACACAGTATAGTTTTGTGTTTAATATATTTTTTCATACATGATCAGTTATCCAAACAACCCCAGTCCTGAATTTTTTCAGATAATTGATGCTCTACTGTAATGTAAAATTAAAAACTAATTAGAACTCAATGAAAACTAAAAAATTATTGGAAATCAACAGAAGAATGTCATCCATGATTGTGTGAATCCATGATTGTGATGTGAATCCAAGAAGATCCATGATTGTGTGACAATTATTACAGAAATTGTGTTAAGAAGAATGTCAGTTTAAGAAGTTAGCTTATACTGGACAGAGGAAGTTCAATAGTTGGAATGGCAGGGAAGAGCACCACTATAGAATAGCAGAATTAGGCATAGTTTTGCTTCTGATTATTTCAAATGAGATTAAACAGTAAAATAGATGGATTTCACAAAACAGATTTCACAAAAGCATATTCTGTATATATATACATATATAGATTATTGTTTATCAGTATATTATTTCTTTGTTTTGCATCTTCAAACAATATTTATATGAAGATAGTTAAAGATTAAATACAATTTAAAATAAATAAATTATTTTTGTGTGTAATATTTAAACAGGGCCCTACTCCTGAAGAAAAAGAAAAGTATTTCCAAGAAGCTAAAGCTTTTTCATTATCATTAGTTGATACATTGCATGATAGAGATGCTGAACGTTTATTTTGTCCAGAATTCAAAATTAAACCTTGTGCTTGTTTACAGAAATATGTCCTAGGACAAGGTAATGTTTTCTTATAACTAATTTTAAATATTAAGTATTACAGATATGATTAATTCCAAATATCATTTTATAATATCATTTTCACATAAATTTACTATACAGAAAGATTAAATCAATAATATATTTTAGTGGCTACAGTTGTCTAAAATATAAAGAAAAATATTACTACATTAAATATAATTCAATTGAGCAATCTATTGCTTTTAGCCCTTAACATTGTTTTATTTTTCTTAGTCTATATCAATTAGACAAATATACTTGAGGGCTTATCACACCAATGTGATAAGCCCTCAAGTATATTTGTCTTATTTGTCTAACTGATATAGACTAAGAAAAATAAAATTAAATATAGTATTGTGAAAAATAAATATTTGCAGCACTTCATTTAGTATTATATAAAATATCAAATGTATATATGAGTATTTCATGTAGTAGAATCTCGTTAATCTGGATTTTGAAACTAGATTAAATTCAGATAACTTGGAATTTTGGAAAATTTGAACTGTTGAGGATTAATAAATATACACAATACTAAATAAAGATTGCACTTAAGATTTTACAGACAATATTTTTTCACTACATGAAACTGATACTGTTTTCAATGTATTTCTTACCACTTAAAATTTGAATAAAACATTCTCTTCAAGATTGTTTATTTTACATTTTCTTATCAGATGATATATATTGAATCTTAATATGACTCATTAAAAATATAAAAGTTTTGTATTTTAATTAATAGCCTTAGCATTGATTTTTTAAAATATAAATCTTAAAAATTATCTATTTATTCTATAAAATGAATATAAAGAAATGCTGTAAGTGTCCATAACTTATAGCAGGATAATTTTATATTTTAACACACAAGAATAAATTCATTAAATAAGAATAAAAGGGAGAAATTAAGATCCATGATTGTGGACAATTAGGAATTATTTTTAAAAATCAGATTTGTTAATTAACTCAGAAGCATTGATCTTATCTATGAATTACTATTTCAAAATTCAAATATTTGTAACAAAAAAGAGCACAATAGATACCTGTAGACTCTTTCAGGAAACAAAACTTTTAAAAAGTTGTTGAAAATTATTAAATTACTGCAACTTGAACTTTAGTTTGAATAATTACTTATTATATTTATGTGCTTTGATTTGAACAAGTAATGTGAGAGTTCAGAAACAAAAAAATTGTTTCCTTTTATAAAGAAAAATATTCTTAGAAACCAAAATACATTTGAAAAATGGCCCACCAAAAGTGGCCAAGTGATCTTTTTATCCTGAACACTGGGAGTTCAGTCATTAGTTTGCACCTCGGTCGGACGGGCTGGCAATGTGGAGTTTTCCAGGTTTTCTCCATGTCTGTAATGCCTAAATAGGAACCAGTTTCCTTTAAAAAGACCTCCTGGAAGGAAACATCCCCCTAGGCAGATCACCCAAGTGTTGCATTGCCATAACTAAACAAACAAACATTTGAAAAATTTTACTTTGAATAGACTTAATGCTTTTATTTTAAAATAAACATTCATCAGATGCACGGTTATAATTTTTATATAAAATGTTGACCTAAAAGAATATTACACTTATCTTTTAAATGTTCAGAATGTTCCATTTAAATACAAAAACTCAAATTAATCTTAATCTCAAATCTAACCTCCAGGATTGAACATACTTTTTGTATAACATCTTTTTTTATATATATAATGGATTACATGATTTATATTTTAAATATTATTTATTTAGTAGCATAATTACTATTAAGTGCTCATAAATATAATGCATTTTTAATGTAGTATACTTTATTTTTTATAGATGGTGATAGTGTTGATCAAACTCATGAAAGGGCAGTTAAATTATTAAAATTATTAAAAGAAGCAAAGCATCTTAGTCAGCAGAAATTTTATAAAAGCCAAGATGCAGTAAAATCAATGG